CAGGCTCCTAGGCGAATGTTTTGCCCATCTTTTAGATAAATGTGTAATTTTAAGATAGTATTAGTTGTATTTCAAGGTACCAAAGGTTGATTGCTTGGTATTTTAGATTTGGCCTTAAAGAAATTCTTTGTGGAAAGCTTCGAAGAAATTGAAAAGCTTCTCTCTACAACACAGGATGTCCCAAATTGATAGTATATTTCTTCTTACATCTTGTTCCTAATCCTTAATGTGATATAGAAATTTGTACAGTTCTGTCCTCTTTTGTCCTTGTCTTCTAATATTGTCTACCTGTCCTTTTTCTTGTAAAAACTTGATTTATTTATGCATACAAGAACTGGTGTATAGGCCAGAGTTGTGGGGAGGGGAGGGGATTTGCAGACAGAGTGAGGAGCAGAACAGGCAGATCTACTGAAATATACCACTGAAGGGAGTTAATTCTGTGTATGGTGTTAATGTCCTAGCTTCATGCTTTGGTATGCTGACTATCCAATTTCCCCAACACCATTACCAAAGAGACTTTCCTTGCTCTATTACATGCTCTTGGCTTGTCATGGATTTGTGATGGCAATGCACTCTGCTACCATGATTACAGCTACTGCCTTTAACCCCAGAAACCCTTAAACTGCCATGAGTTCTTGTCCCATGAGCCTTAAAATTTGCAGATTCTTTAGATAAATATGCAGAGTGAAGCACACTTTGTTCAAGAAAGTAGAGAAAAGTTTATTTAGGAAAGGACAAAAGGCAGGTTCACAAAGGAGAGGCAAAAGGCAACGAATGGGTCTGAGTTTAGGGGATATTTAAACATGTTTTCTCTATTCTAAACTCTTGCCATCTTCTCTGTGATTGGCTCTCTTAGTGGCTGTATTTCCTTGGGTAGCTGTGCCCAGCTTTAAAACTCTTAGTCTTTCTTTTACTGCTCCTACCCAGGGTGTCTTAACATTAGCTCCTTGTTATTCTTAAACTTTATTGCCCTTGTTAGCCCTCCCAGATTTCTGTCCTTTCCTCAGAAGTGTTTTTTTTTTTTAAGATTTATTTATTCATACAGAACTGGGGTGCAGGGGCAATGAGAGGTTTCACCTGAGACAGAGTGGGGTGCAGAACAGGCAGATTGGTGAAGTATACTACTGAGGGGAACAGCAGAGACAGGAGAGGTCTGCTGTGCCATATGGGTCATCTCCGGGGTGGGGATCAAACTCATGCTGAAGTGGCTTTAGCTTCTTAGTGTTGTGCTTTAACCCACTGCACCATCGGGGAGGGCCTCTCAGAAGCTGTTTTTAATACTCCCAGAGTTGCTGCCTGTACTGTCCATGAAGCTGCCTAATTAATCTTAAATTCCCACAGTACTCATTAATCCATAAATGTGAGCGTTTCTCAGCTCTTAATTCTGTGCCACTGATGGTTGTTTTGTAACATCAACAAACTATTTTGATTACTATCACTTTGTAGTATAGTTGAAGAGGTTTTTATGCTATATCTGAGGATTATTCTGGCTCTATGAGGATGTTTGTAGTTCCAAATAAATTTTAGTTTTGTTCTATATGTATGCAGGATGCCACTGAAATTTTGATGGGGATTACATTGAATCTGGTTTGCTTTAGATATTAGGGCATTTTAACTTTTCCAAACAATGAGAAAAGAATATCCTTCATTTCTACTTTGATTTTATGCTTGGTGGGGCCAGGCTAGTACTTGTATGGGAAACCACATAGACTTTCTAACCATATAAAATTTATTACTGGTCATTAACACAAAAACAGTTTTATTGACTGAAATAAGAATACTTAATTTTCTTCTTCTGGAGTGATTAGGTAGAGAGAAAAAGCAAGTATTTGTTTAAAAAGGTATAATTCATAAAATTTCTTATACTATATAAAGCAGACTTTTAAGCAAAAACAGCTCCTATTTTAGTTAACTAGGTTTAAAGAGTTGAAGATAAATATGAAGTGAAAAGTTTGCTTGACAGGCAGATTGATAAAAGGTAATGAGAAACCTTTACCAGGAGTTAGATTGAGTATTAAGAAAAAAAAAAAAATAGTTCTCTTAATTGGGACCAAATTAAAAGGAAAGCTATTTTAAAAGGAAAGCCTTTTTAATCTTAGACTAAAGATCATACATACAATATTTCCACATTATGTGGAAGTATTAGAAAGTCTAGGTACACTGGACTTTTTAATTCTTAAAACATGGATTTCTAGGAAAAATAATTGTGGATTATCTACTATTTTCATACCCTGTGGATTAGCAGACCTAATAAAACTTGTAATTTTGGAAGTATACTTTTCCTCACAGTAAATTTCCCAATGTGGCACAAATACTTTCTGATATTTAAGGTTTTTAGTAATAATAAAGCAAAAGTAGTAAACTTAGGTTCACCAACGATTTAGTATCAGTTTTATTTGCAAATAGTCTAGACATTTAATTCTCATAACTTAGCAAAACTCCAAAATCTAATTTAACAAAGAATAGTTGAAACTATTGCTAGAATGTTAGATTTTTTTAGCACATTTATATTTTCTGACACTATTTACGACACTTCATTACGTTTAGATTAACCATTAAAAGATAGGTCATGTTAGTCATTTATTGTTTTAAGCTATTTTTCTTGTCAGGTAAGATGATTTATTTTGCTTAATAAACCCATCCAGGTAGAATAAAAATATTACACTAAATGTTAATTGTAAGACACCCCTGTTTGAGTCAGCCCTATTTAAGCTTCTCTTTATTTACCAAAAGTTATCCCAAATTACATTAACTTAAAAACATTTGGCTTAGTTTATATCATTTTCTAATTTTTAGAAATCTCTATAACCAATTATAAATTAAAACCCATTTTACAAGTTACTTTGGGTAATATCATCTGAAGGGAGAACATAAATAAATGAGAGGCAGAGAAACAAACATCAAATCAGGCATAAACACAGACCTTAATGGCTTTCATTTAATCATTATGTCATGAGTCAGGTAAAATGTAAAAACTATTTATAAGAATAGATTCAGATTTTGTCTCTGGCAGTTGGAAAAGTTCAGATGATCTCCTCTGATGACTAAGCCTAGCATCTGAGGAGAGACATCAGTATTTCTGTACTCGTCCTTAGTGGGTTTTGGCAAGGAAACCTGATAGCTGCTTGGGTTAAATGGGGCTTATATTTTTTTCTTATCTTCTTTTTTGCATTTTAAGGGAAAAATTTCTATCAGCAGCGATTTTAGAGGGCAACTATAAAGTCTCTGGGGGAGACGGGGATATGGATGAAGAAGGTCAAAAGGTGAAGAGGCCTCAGCCACTGTCTCAAGTTTGGATAGTTGTGAAGATTTCATTGCCTAAAGGGAGGCAAGTATCTCAAGGATGCATTTGGGAGCCTCCAGATACTAGTTAAGATACTTCCCACTGGTTTAGTGTGGATCTTTTTCTTTCTAATTCTACATGTAAGTAACTAAGTAATCTCGGACATACCCCATTTTGGCCCAAGGGGTTTTAAATTACCAAGTTCTTTATGTGGATCCATGTAAAAAAAAAAGAATTGACAAGATCAACTAGTTCTTCAGCATAAAACCCTATAGTGGTACATTATTTAACCATTCCCAAACATGAATTCTGCCTTTTGCCTGACAGAGACCCAAATGGATAAGATCCCAAATGTTCCCTTAAAGGCAATGAAATCCTTCACTAGCAGCAATTACAAGATTCTTAAGAGTCTTCTGGGTCCTCTCACATGGATGGATGGATCCTAACAACTACAAAGAAATACCAGAACCTCAACCTGAGAATAGGTACAGATCCAGGAGTCCAATTCAACAAAGACCAGAGGCAAAGAATCTGTATGTGGTGCCAGCCTGCCTGATCTGAAGGCTTTGTTGGGCCACCCTGAAGGTCACTTTGGATTCTGTTCATTGTACAATTGTCCAAAAGAAAACTTGAGATCTTTCAGAGGGAATAAATACATTTGAAGGGGATCAAGACTAAGGACTACAGGCCAGTTTCAGGCGAAGCCTGGTTAGTACCCCTACTTTGCAAGTTACTAGAAAAGGGTTTATAAAGAGAACTGCAAGGGGATTTTCTAGTTATGTAAGTTGTCTGTCAAAATTATGATTGGCTACTAAGCTTCTAAGCCACAAAGCCACTGTCAATCATTGGAAGGTTGTGCTTTTAAACATTTTTAAATGTTTCTGAGTAGCTGTACTTTTAAACATTTTTTCCCATTTTGGGTGGTGGTAGCAAAAGCTGTACTTCTCTAATGACTTCTAGCTCTGCTATAAATGCAGTTGTCAATGAGTTCTTGTTTGGAACTTTTTCTTTCACTAATTCCAGGGGTAGGCCTACTTTTTACTAGCTCAACTACTGTTACTTGTTCAGTAAGGCGTACTACTTAGTACTATGAATTGAAATATTCTAGTAATCTGCAATGACTAGGAAAAGAATATAGTTTTGCTTTCTTATTTGCCATATATAAGCTACTATTTTTTGTTATTTCTATGGAATAACACAATGTCTGAAATGCCTAGTAATGACAACCTTTACAATAATTTCCCTTCAGAGTAGAAATGTGATTGTTGTACATTATCCAATGTACTTATTTAATAGTGTTAACCACTCTCACATTCCTCAGCTCTTACCCTCTTTCTGAACCTTCTGCTGTCCTGTTTGGGTTACTATCTAACCTTTTAATAGAACCACCACAGCCACCCCACCTAGCACTTCCTCCCCCACACACAGCCTATAAAGACATTTTACTTGGAAATTGCTAACATATACACAGTCACTTTTCTCCTTAGCACTGCATTATCTTTAGCACACACACACACACACACACACACACCATTTTATGGTACACAGTTGAGCTTACTAACCATTTGGAGATAATCGTACTATCAAATGACTCAATGTGAAAAACACAAAAGTATTACTTTTGTTTCGTAACTTTCTACTTTTTATAATAAAAATAAAATTAGGAGGCACTACATTCATAGCATTTATACACAACATTTAAATGAGTTTATTTTAAAGTTTAGAACATAGTTTTAAGCTGAGTTAAATGTTTATGAAATGATGGAAAAATTTCGAAAAAGCTTAATCACTGCTCTGAATTTAATACTTAATATAGGTCAATATGAATCCTTAGGTTAATTATCCTGATAGTTTTCGATTCAACATTAATCATATTATCATGTTAAAAATCAGATGTACAAAGGAAAGACATGTGATTGCTATATGGAAATTTGTATATACTTTCCTATTAATTAGGCACCACATAAATTTTTTTAATAGTTCCTAAAAAGGTATTTATGATTGTTATTGTGGGAGATTTACATTTCCCCCCAAGACTTTTAGCAGCTTACTGTCTAAATGTTCTTTTGTCTCATTAAGTTTTACAACTTGACATTCAGAAGCTCAGAAAATATCACCAGGTTTTTTTTTTTTTTCTTTTCCATTTCAACCAGAACTTTTTCTTCTGTTATAGTAATCTCATGGTGCTGGTTACCTAGTCTCTTTCCTAATATCAACAGAGTCCAAGGACTTCAACTATCACTACCAGTTTGCAGGACATAGCCCAGCTTTTTAGCTAGCATCCCAGTGGATTCTGCCATAATCTTTAGAACATAATTCCTACATCTTCCTTCCTTTTCAGTCACAAAATAGAATCACAGGTTTTTCTCCTACTTTTGCTAAAATTTAACTCAAACACTTGTTCACATAAGCAAGAGATGTGAGGACAAATTTTCTGTCTCTTACAAGAGACAGAAAATTAATGGATCCAGTAAGGTTTCAACTCTCCAATTAAAGTATAAAATTCTACTTGAGTTTAATATAAGAAAATAAAGTGAAAATAAAGTGAACATTTTCCAGGTAAATGCATGCCAAAAGAAATAGTAGGACATAATAAACAAAAGTTCTGGGCAAAAAATACTAACTATGTAAGCAGTAACTTTTTCTTAAGTCTGCCTCACATACTATTTCTATAGTATTGTCCAAGGACTCATACTTCCTGCTACCTGTATCTTTATGTAATCCCCTCTTCAGTCTCTAGACTTGACTGTGTGACTTGCTTTATTCAGTGGAAGGTGGGGAAATCTGATGAAAGCACAGGCATGAGAAGATCTTGGACACTAGACTTGCTCTTCTGGAATGTTTTCTTAGTCATGGAAATAGGCCCAATCAGCCTACTGGAGAATGAAAGGTCATGTAGAACAGAAACAATCAGGCTCACTGAATCATGAATAACCAAGACATCCTTGTTTCAAACCAATTATTCGGGTGGTCTGTACTGCAGCAATGGGTAAAAGCTATATTTTGTAGAACTTCATCATGTCTATCTTCAGGGCAGCCATCATATCTTCAGGGCAGCCAATGAATAAAAGTTGAAGAAAGCTATGTACTTAATTAGAAAAACCATAGGTTTCTCAGTGAACTTCAACACCACTAGACCAGCTGTAAATCTGTTATATTTCCCCTCTTCCTCAGCTATATGGTACATTTAAATATTTACAAGACTCAACCAGTAGTTATAAGACCAACATCCTATATAGTCTATAGGTATAGCATGTATCAATGAACAGAGTACACGAGAAATAATTTTATTTTTAAATATTGAATTGTATGTTCCATATAAAAGATGGGAGTCTAGTCTGTCTTTAAAAATTACACATGCTAATGCTATTCTTATTACAGAAGCCAATGTACAGTTTCATTCCTTAGCTTTTATAAAATCATCTCTTGTACATATTTCCAATTCCCTTTAAAAAATAAATTCATACAAGATATTTTTAACATATTAAAACTTAATTGGTTATAATAACTGCCCAGCTTTCAGCATCCACTGAATAGTTCTCGTATGGAGAAGCTAGTAAGTTGGAGTAATTAATTCTCTGTATTTACCTTTATTAAAAAGAGGTTTTTGGTAGTGAGGACAAATAATCTCTCATTTGTTGCTTGAAAGCCTAAAATAGGATCATTGGTCTCTATGCTAGCTACTTGCTGCTTAGCAACCTGCCCTATTTGTCTGCCTTCCTTTCTGTTGTAAAGTACAGTGGACATGGGGGTGGGCTGACGGTAGATGAATACCCGACGGAGGCACTCACAAAGGGCAGCGTAAGAGTAATTTGGGGCACAGGCAAAAAATTTTTTGTCTCTCTTAGATGCTTGGACGTAACCTGCCAAGAAATAAGAAACCACATATTAAACAGGAAGAAAAAAACAAACTTAAGATTAAGAAATACTCAATGTTACTACAAACTAAAACATGTATGTAGATTTTCTAAATTCTCAGCACTGGTTGCTGAGAATTCTGACCCACAATGGGCTAGTTATAATGAATCTTTCCCACCAAGTGCAAAAACACAGCCTTAATTCCAAATGAGCAAAACTGATTGGTTTTCTTAAAGATAGGAAACCCTGAGTTCCATGTAACTTCCATGAATAGTTATAACCAAAAACATACCAAGCTACCTTTATGTTGCCAATGTAATAATTAGCTCATCAATCACAGAATCTTTATTCTCTTATCAAAGAAATGGAAAATGTTTAGATACCATTATATTGCATCCACCTCCTTAGAAGTACTATTATAGCCAATGCATTCTCTAAATTCTACTAGTGATATTTTTAAATGCCAACGCCAACACTGTAAGAGTTCTGTTACACTCTAGCTCCCAGAAATAGAACCTTGAGACCACTGCAAGCTCAAATGAAAGTTCAGGAATCTACTTTAAAACTTAATTATCTTATTACTGAATAAAATGTAACAGTGATGTAAACTGAGGTTTTGTAAAACAATGAGCAAACCAAACACTGAGCATGTAGGTCAATGCTGGTAATTTTAATACAATGCAGGTGTTGAGGAAAACAAAGATGATGTAGATACCTATCTGAAAAGTTTGTAACTAGCTTTGTAGGCTAAGCTTGACAAAATAACATAGCATCAAGACTACAATATCTAATGTAATGTTGATTTTAATTTTTCCTCCTGTAAAAACTGGGTAAAGAATTTTAAAGATAGGTGTGTAGGGAAGTTAGATATTATGCAGTTAAAATAAGAATGTTTGATCAAAATTTAAGACAAATATGCACTTGGCTATAAGGGAAAGTTGATAAATCTCCAACTAGGATTATGTACATACACTAATCAAAATATAATTTTACTTCCCATTGCCAGTTTAAAATAACTTTTCCACAAAGCAGTAACTGAGGCTAATTCATAGAATTTCCTCTCACACAACATTAATGTATTTTAACAAAAATCAATTGTGCAACTATAAGTTTAAGAATTTCAAGCCCTAGTTTTAAAACTAGTATTTTCCCTTTTATCCTTTCATTTCTGCTTATCCTTATTTTCCCTAAATGTTTTCATTATAATGGTTCACTTTTACAGTTAACCTTCACAAAAGATGCCTTCTAATGTTCATTACCTTAAAGCAGTGAAATTACTCTGAAGAAAGCGGAACATGAGTTCCACGCTGGCATTATCAAGTCCCTTGCTCATATACTAACACCAGACAGCTTTCCTGGAGTAAGCAAAGGACTGTGACCAACGGGGCTAGCAGGCCACTCCGATACAGACTGTGCTGACTGCTCTGCCAGCTTAGACACACTAATCCTACTGTTCCAAAGTACTAACATTCACTAGTGCTAGCCCCAGCACAAGTTAACCCAAATGTAACTGGGAGAGCTCAAATTTTAAAAAAGCAAATAGAAACCGTAAAGATGACAGTACTTTTTATATGGGAAAAAGCCGCTCAAGCGCTTGCTTTTTACCTAAAGCATTAAAAGTTGCAATGTGCTCCCACATGTCACCCTGTTTGCTGGAGTGTGGCTGCCACAGCAGGGCATCGACATCATGGCGCAGACAGAAGCAGGGCATTTCTTTAGGATCCACTATGACAGAGAAGAGGTACTGGTTGCTTCCAAGATTCACCTAAAATAAAAGTGACTTTAGTACACTGTATAACAATTACAGTATTAATATCAAGCATGTTATGTTATAGTCATTGCAATACTGACCACTGCTTATTTTAATACAAAGTTAACAAGGTGAAACTTATAAGTGGGCCCCATATATTGGTTGTATGTCTGTTTCACTGTTCAGTTCTTTGTGTATTTTTCAATTTCAATATGAAAATACCTTTGAAAAAATTTGAGGGTGTCTAATGTTTACAAACTCTTTCAACTTGTTTGAGAAGGCCTTGATCACCTTATTTTGCTACATCCAGTTAAATGTTGGTATACTGTACTTTCCACTTTCAATATATATATTTTTTTAAAGATTTATTTATTCATACAGAACTGGGGTACAGGCCAGAGGTGCAGGGGCGGTGAGAGGATTCACCAGAGACAGAGTGGGGAGCAGAACAGGCAGATCGACAAAGTACACAGCTGAGGGAAGCGGCAGGCAGGCCAGGAGAGGTCTGCCATGCCATGCGGATCACCTCTGGGGCGAGCGGGGATCCAACTCATGCGGAAGTGGCTTTAGCCTCTTAGTGCTGTGCTTTTTAACCCGCTGTGCCACCAGGGAAGGCCCCCATTTTCAAATCATTGTGGGACAGATAAGATGACTGACATTGCAATATTTTAACATGTAATCTATCCCAGAGAATGTTACATGATGTTGGAGAAGAATCTGTATTCTGTTGCTTTGGAGGAAATGTTCTGTATCTGTTAAGTTCACCTGGTCCAATGTGTCATGTAAGGATAACATACACTTACTGATTTTTCTGTCTGAATGACCCATTTATTTTTGAAAGTAGGTATCACTTTTAACTACCATTATTGCATTGCCATTATCGCTTTCCTTTATGTCCATTAGTATTTGTAATCTGTAGGACAACCACTAGCCTCACACCCTAATACATCAAAATAATGTCAAAGTATAATCTAACCATTAAATCATATTGAAACACTAGGAAATGCTCAGGTCATAATATTAAAAAAGGAAAAATATGACCCTACAATGTATAACTTCACAACTATTGAAAAAAGTCTGATAATCAATATGCAGTTGTATCAACAATATTGCTTAGTGGCTGTGCTAGAACAAAAGATGCTTCTTTACAGAGTGACAAAATATAGCAAGTAACTACTACTAAAGTCATCTTTGATTATTAAATTATCTTACCTGAATAATTTTTATTTGCAAATTTTTAGAGATAATCACTATCAAGAACTTACCACATGAGTAGTTTTTAATGTAATACCATCAAATCTGCATAAGCTGGAGCTCTCCTCAAAGAAAATATCACATTCTTCTAACTCTTGGGCATTACAAGGAGGTTTTTCTTTATCTGGATTTGGATTCTTGGAGGGAGGGAGGAATGATAATAATGGAATGGATTTATTCATTCTTAAAGTGAATTATAGGAACAATTAAACTAAATTTCAGACCTATGTCCAACTGATAATTATAATAAAAACAAACAAATGTTGGAATAGAAAAATATTAACAGCTATTATACGTGTTCTATACTTAGAGATGCATAACTATTAGGGGCCAAATCCAGTAATATGTAAAAAGATAACATCATGACAAGCATAATTTTTTCCACTAATAAAATGATTTGACAGAACTACACAACTCTTCATTATAAATCCTCTAGAGATACTAGAAACATGCAAGATGAAACATCTACTTAATGGTGAAATATATTCTTTCCCCACAAGGTGAGGAAAGAGATGTTTGCTTTCATCATTTCTATTTACAGTGCATTCTAACCAATACAGTAGGGCAGGGAAACAAAAGATTTGAAAAAACAAACCACTTTCAGCTGAAGTCAAAATTCTGTTTTTGTCAAATGTAATAAATACATTGGTATCTCAGCATAAGTAATTTAAATATACCAATATTGATTTGAAATCAAGTTTAAAAGTCAGTTAGCAATAATTACCTACACTCCTCAAGCAATTCCTGATCATACCCATCATCGTATCTCCAAAGCTCTGTCATGCTATTTGTTGAATAACAGAGGGCAATGATCTCATGGTTTGCAAGAGGGCTGTTGGTTTCATAGTCATATATGTGAATACCAGTGATCCTTGAAATTTTCAGCTTATTGCTAGCAAACAAGAAATTTGGTTTCTCCATTTTTATCGTGTTTTCTTTTGACACTTCTCCTACTTTAGAATGCGACTAATACCTTCTTTCATACAGCCTGCCTTATAACAGTAGATCTAGATGGCATTCAGCAAAATATTTCACATAAGTGAGATTATAACTGAAATTGTAAGGTAAGGCTTTGCACATATACAGCAATAACATTTTATAAGTTATCAAACAGAATATATTCTTCAGAATCTCAGAGTTGAATGACTATTGTATAGTCACTGTAATCATTTTCAATCAGAAAAAAACTGTAGCATAGGATATAAATACATATTCTGATATTGTAAGGTTACCTAGAAAATTTCAGTGGTAAGCAAAATTTCACAAGATATATCATAAAAACAACTGTGCCCTGGATAAAACTGTCAGTTGATTCTTCTAAGGAATACAGATCAGAGGTCCACACATGCAACAGATAGACACATGCTCACACACAGGTATCCACACCCTGTAAGAAATGTGTATTAGAACTTTAAACCATGCCAGCTAATCTTACATTAGAAAAAGTAAGATAACAAAACACATTCTGGATTCTGGGAAAGCCATGCTATTGCTGGAGTTGCTTACCAGTTCTTCAGAAGTCAAATGCATCAAACGCTCAGCTATCGCAGCACATTGTGCTGAGTCTCTTATAAGTTCCCCTTGTTTATCACCAACTATTAGCTCTGGCCATGTTAGCCCTTCACTCTTCTTAATCAAAGAAATCTCCAAGCTAGAAGTTTAAATGAGAAAAATGGCATTAGCAATCATACAACTAATCAATAGCAAACAAATCTTCCACAGAAATTACCCCTCTGGCATCCAGAGGCTGTTTTAACAAAAATCATGCCCACTTTATTTTTTTAGTTTTTTTTACTGTGGTAAATCACGTTCATTTTAGCTGTGCATGATGCACCACTTATAACCCAAGAGTAAATAATTTAGATTTAATGAGTAAACAAGAAATGGTAAACTAGAACTAGTGTGTTAAATGGCTTGAAGGGAGTGAATGGAAATAGTCAGCTATCTAGAAAGTATTATGTTTAGAGGGACGTACTGGACTATAACAAAGGCAGGCCAGCAGCATGAGGGTGGTGGCAGGCTTGCAACGTTAACTGGAAAGTATCTAAACCCAAAGATACTTCTTTGTGAAAATAAAGGTACTGTTGACCTCACATACAAAGAGTAGCAATAATATATTAATCTAAGAATGAGGCTGGTTAAACCAATACAAACGTTAGCTTTTAAAATATGTATCTTAAATTTAGGACTTGATGTTTTAACTTTGATAATACGGCGGTGGGGGGAAGCTAATGTGATCTGTCAACTTCTTTTAAAATCTAAGTTCATACATCTAAGCCACCTAACAAATTATAAATGCACTACAGTATCTACCAGGAAACCCATAGTTTAAGAATTGACACATCTAAAAAAGGGGAGCCAATTCAGGGCAAGTTACAGGTAAAGAAGGTTAGGAAGTAGTCCATGTGTCTCTTGAACAAGGGAAATCCAAGTAAGTTGCTTTGGGGGCTAGTTACAGAACAAGGCTGGGTGGTGGTTACTGTTCCCCAGCCAAGCAACCTTTTCCGTAAGTCGCCTTTAGCACACATGTGCCATGCTAACCCATGCCCTGGAACATAACTGCAAGCAAACAATTGTAAGAACACCATAACTATTACAATAATTACTGAATAGATCACGCAAGCTTAGCTATTCTTTTTCAAGGTTGCTATTATCACCGACTCATGGATTAATTACAGCATTTTAAATTTACTGAAACTACTTGTTTTAAGAGACTACAAAAAATAATAGTACTTATGTAATATGAGCTCCAATATTAGCATTAAACCACCACCATCAGTAATGCCTGGATTTAGTTATATGTCCAAAGGAGAAAGTTAATCTTGATAATGATGCTGATAATGACAAAAGCCTGTAAGTATAATGCTTACTATGTGCCAAAGTGCTGCCTTAAGCACTTTACATGTTTTTATTTACTGCTCACCAAAAAGTAAGTACTATTATCTCCATTATACAAATAAAAGGGGGAAAAAAGCACTGAGAGGTTAAGTAACTTGCAAAGGTCACAAGCTAGTAAAAGTTTGGTTCCAAGGTCTTGTTCTTCATTACTGTACTACTGTCTCTCTGCAAAAATGATTGTAATAACTAGAGTATTTCCTCAGCGACCAGAATACTGTTCTTGGTACTTGCTACCTAAATAAATTAGAAGAGTTCAGTTACATGAAATTTCTCAACTCATATCTGTTTATCCCTTTTAGCACAACTGTATTTCTAACTAGAATGAAAAGGAACATAAAAATCCTACCCATTTTAAGTTAGAAAAGTAAAAATCCTTCCAAATTGAGAGGGAACATCATTTGAAAATGAGATATGAATAATTTAATCAAGTACAGAGGACAGCATGTGTTTCAAACCAATAATACCACCTACACATCACTGTAATTATCTTTTATAACATAAAATTGCAATCAAATAGCTCAATTTAATGGAAAACAATACTGGTACATGTTCACGTATTAAATGCCAAAACTATCTGCATAAGGTCCAGCTATTCTCCTAGACCTTTGACTGCTTGATAAACATACTTAACAACATGCTCTGGCTGGCATTTTATAAATGCCACCCTCAGATCCCTCAGATACATAAGTGTTTAAGTCAAGTCACCAGATTTCCCCATTAATATAATGAATTCAGGGTATCTGCTTTAAAACTTGACTTTTTTTGAACTAGATAAATACTTAGTTTAGACTCCCAAAATATACTCATAACAAAGACTCACATGGACTAATCAAGAACTATAGTTAATGCCTAATTCTATTAACACATCACAAAATTTAATAATTACAAAGATTTCTTATTCTATGAAAAAATCTAAATGGTGGAGAGTGAACTTACCTGAGACAATATATTTCTAATGAGGCACAGTGGTAAGGACTGAATTAGTTTCATAAGACTAAGATGAAGATAGTGAACCATCCCATAAGTTCTCTTTTCCAGTCTACCTTCCTACATCCAAGAGATAACCATTATTCTGACCTAATACCATTAATTAGCTATACCAGTTCCCGAACTGTGTGTGGAGTCATATAGTATATACTTTGTCTCTGGGGTTTTTTTACTCTACAATGTTTCTAAGATTCATTCATTCTGTTGTGTTTAATCAGTAGTTCTTTTTTCTTCTAGAGTGTAGCATTCCATTATATGAAAATACCAT